GCCGCCGAGCCGCCGCCGGGCCGCTTCTCGCCCGAGTCGCACCTGGCCGAGGCCGCCGATGGCACCTCCGAGTCGGCGCCCAGCTGCGAGGGCAGCGTCTGCGACCGCGCCTCGGAGCTCGAGGACTTCTGGAGGCCGCCCTCGCCCTCCGCCTCGCCAGGTAGGACCGCGGCCTCCGCCGAGCTGTCTCGCTGGGCGCGGAGCCCCCATCGCGGGGGAGCGGAGGGGACAGATTTCCCCATGCAGCCAGCGGGCTCGTAGATCTGTCTCCTGCTCTCAGGCTGCCCTTCGAGCTCATCTGCACCGCTAACGGGAGCAGTGGCGGCTTGCAGGAGACTTGCGATGCCTAGGGACATTAGTATTATTGTTTCAAATTAACTGCTAAGACAAAATTATGTTTTCAATGTACCGGTATTTGCCTACAGGGTCCATCTGTCACAAAGTTTAGCGGCTTTTCTTTTCTTTTCTTTTCTTTTCTTTTCTTTTCTTTTCTTTTCTTTTCTTTTCTCTTTTTTTTTTGTAAGTCAGTAAATATATTTATTCGCCTATCTATACACCTGTAGTAAACAGCATTGACCGTGTGTTTGTTCTACCTGCTTGACGTGTTCCCGAACTCCCTTTCAGGATATTTCTTGCCTCTCGTCTATAAAAAGGATCTCTCCCACTTTTTTTTTCTTTCTTTCTAAAAAGGCATTTCTGAAAACCATTTGAAAATAATGGCGGTCAGATTTAAACACCCCAAATCCAGGAAACTCACACTTATGGCTGCAGCGCCTGTCTCTAGCTCCCTCGTCCTGCCTTTGATGTGGTTGGAGCAGTGGGAGATGCTGTCCCCAGTTTGGCGTGAATACTTATCTCGTTTAAAAATACAACGCTGTCGTTTTATAACGAAAATGTGTGTGTGTGTATATATATATATATATAAACAAAACATTTTACTACCTTGGTTAAAAAGTGGCAGCTGGAAAAAAAGAGCAATTTCTGTCTTAGCAAGGGAAAATTTTTCTCAGCTTTGCAAAATGACAGTGGACACCAGCAAACAAATACATTGTCCTGTTTCTCCACTGATTCTCCTACTTTGTCCTTATAGTAACCTTGCATATCAAACGTTTGCTGTAATGATGTGGATTAGCATTTTTAAAGACCCTCCTCTCCTTTAGAAGCCCAAAAACCCTTTGAGCGGACGATCAAAATCGTCATTGCAACCAGCCACGGGACAGCTTCAGTTGGTGCAAATGACAGACGGCACCAAATGCAAGAATGCAGCCGTCTCCGGTTTGCTAATATTTCTGCACAAAATTTAACAATGTCTTTTATTTTTGTACCTAACGAATTTGCACTGCTCCTTTCTACTACAATTTCTGGAGGGCAAAGAAACCATTCTCAGGAGGTGTCCAAAAGACACAGATGGGAAATGGAGCAGGTAGTTAGCAGGACTGCTCTGCCTTACCTCCCCGCTGCTGTGGGATTTATTAGCCCCCTGACAACCATCCCGTTACCTAGGGGAAGACATCCTGGCAAAATGAGAGCAGTGTGTGAGATTCCTTTTTTTTTCTTTTTTTTTTTTTCTCCAAGGGAGAGGCATCCTGAAATGTTCTGCACCCCTTTACTGGGGGAAATGGGCAGGAAGGGACTCACAGCCTTCGCAGGAAAGAGGTTCATTAAAGGAACCTCGTTGCCTCAGGAGGGTGCCGCTGCATTGACCATCAAGGCATTGGTAGTGGGCTTAGATAGTCAGGCTCTCTCCCACAGCTCCTGCCAAACCCTGCCTTCCAGCTGCCTTGCCACATTCAGTGTGAAGCTGGAATTTGTGCCTTGGTCACTTCAGCAAGGTGCCCTGGTGTGATTCTGGATTTTTATGGTCATGTGTCTGGGTGGAGCACAGTTTCTGTGCTGCATCAACAAGGGCAGATGAGAAATGATGTTTCTATATCATGTTCAGAGAAGGCAGATACAGCTAATAGTACTTACTGACCCCTCATTCCACCATGCAGCCTGTGCCCTTTTCACTTCTGATGCAGCACGAAAGCCAGATGTCGGGGCTGTCTGTGAGCACAGCGCCGAACAGGGGAACACGCGCAGTCACTGCAGCTTTATGGTGTCATTAACATTCTACATACTTTTTTGACTCCATTAGTGCAAATTGCTTTGGCATTTAACCTCACTTTTTATGCATGTCTGTAATCACACACGTTTGTTTAGACAGTAGGAGCCTTAATAGTGGTGTGCAGCAGTGTATTAGAATCTCCCGAGTCTATCAGTGCTGCAGTGCTGTGAGAAGTCTTGTTCTGGGTATAATGGAGTTGTTGTAAAGGCAGCATGATGTTTTGTGGTCTGTCTGTGGAGGAGGACACCTGAATCTTTTTTTTACTGTGTGTACCAATCTGTTCTGATTTTCAGTTTGGGTTGAGCCTGCCTTGCCTTCAGAAAAAAAGCGGTGATGTTTGTTCTCCCACAGTGATCTGTGTAAGGGCTACACGGACTTGCTAAGAAGTGGCAGGGACAAGTTGACTCTCTCTCCCGTCTACCCTCCCTGAGGACTAGGCACTGCAGGAAGGCAGACCCAGAAGCGTCTCCTGCCCAGCAGAACGGGAAAGTGGGGTTTGAAAGTCTCCTTGGCGCTGGCCACGGGCTCACATGGCTTGAGCACGCCCTTGGGAAGCACAGTGTGAGTGCTCGCCTCGCACTCGTCCCTGTAGGTGCTCTAGGGTGCGCGAGGCGGCTGAACCCGCGTGCGTGCAAGCTGATCTGTTGTGCAGTGTGCTGCTGTGTCCAGTGCTGCCAATTCCAAGGGCTCAGAAATCAGGTCAGCCTCCCCTTTCTTCTCCTTCAACCAACTGACTTAGAAATCAAGACTGTAAGTAATACCTCATGGATCTTTTAACTCTTGTATTGGAATATATAGGGTTTATGTTCTCACGCATTTTTTCAGTCTGGGCTAGAAGTTGTTTTCGGGACGAAAAAATAGTTACAACAAGAACAAACAAACAAAAAGCCTGGGGCCTGATGAAATTGTACAGTTTCAGAGCTGGGGCTTTAAGATAGTTCTGAGTCTTGCGATAAAATCGTGAGAGATGGCAACTCTGAAACTGGTTGCAAAGACACAAGATAGATGATGTGACGTTGACCACAACTTTGCAGTCAGTGCAGAACAGGAAAAATCATGCTCAGCACCATGTCAGCTAATTTGATTTCATCGCTCTGTTCAGATGTCCCAGTTGGTATGTGCGCCTATATTTCCATTTGAACAACTACTGATTTCAATAGAAGAATTTAAGATTCTGTTAAGATCTGAAACTATGGAAAATATAGAGAACAGCCAAGTCAGTGCTTCAATTTCCCCTCACTTTCCACTCTCTCCCTTATCCCTCAGTGACCGTCCGCCTCTCTAGAGAAGTGGCCTAACACATTGTGCTTCCCTCCCTCTCCCACCCCTGGTTATCCTGGTGTGCTGAGGGCTCAGGAAGCCATGTGAAGCTGACCAGGAAAGAGTTGTGGGTGTGCAAGTTTGAGAGTAAGGGAGGTTGATCTGGTAGCCTAGGTTGTAAGGAGGCCAGTATCTCTGTGAAGGGCATCAGCACTTCAGCAGTTAACTAATTCTTCTTTTCCTTGGTTCACTAATATATTTGCCCAGTGGAGACATTTGACTCTCCATGCTGCTGCCCGATGTGATGATGCGAGAAAGCAGAGCACCTCAAATGTTAATCAGAGTGTCTGTCAGAAGTGGTTGGGATCTCGTACCTCACGTTGCCAGCACAGCTCTGCTTTCTCCACGCAAAGCTCCCTGAGTGTTTGTGCCTTTAGACCCTGTGTTCCTGCCACTGCTTCCATCTCCTGCTAAGGCCCCTCCAAGTGCGATTCCTTTCATGGTGCCCGCCACATCCATTGGATGCCCTTGCCAAGGGAGGCCCTGGTTAGAGCCAGCTGAAGCTATCTGAGCAGCTTTTGGGATGTCCTGGTGGGAGCTCGCTTTGATTATGACTGCCAGGGGCAGCCTTTTGTGTCTTTAATTTTTAAGGTAGCCTATACCAATGATTTTCATAATGTTTTTCTGAAGCTGAAGTTTTGGGTGCGTTCAGCTTCTTTTTTATTTTAGGGAAGTTCAGAGGAATCTGGAACAACTAGAATTTTCTTTCAGATGAGGACTGATTTTTTTTTTTTCTCCCCCTGAAAAGGGAGGCATGGAATCCAAACACCTCTGAAGCTGTTCTCTGTTTTGGCAATGCTGTAGTATAATTATGGACAGTTGTGAACCAAGTTCACAGACTAGATTTGGGCATTAAGTTGTGCAACAAGTAGTTTTAAGTTCTTTTGAAAGGGTAAATCTCAGCACCCTTACTCCTCCTAGCACCTCTGTAATGTCATTTCTACATTATGGATGGGTGGAACCTGCATTGCAGTTTGAACGCTTGGACTGTCAATGTTGATGCCCATCTTGGAGTACTGTAGATATACTTCTTTGAGAAGCTGCAGGTAAACGCAAAGAGGGCTGAGACCAAGTTGTTCAGGATCTCAGCAGTGAGATCAGTGTTTCCCCATCTTGGCAACCAAAATTGATGCAGACAAAATCGGTGGCTGCGTTTCATAATCTGCCTGGGGCAGCCCGTGCTCAGGTCGGGGTGCTGAGCTAGCTCTGTCTCGTGATGGCTGGTGCACTAGGAAGCTCTCGCTGATTCCCGTGTTCTCCTACAGCCTCGGAGCGATCTGTGTGCCCGTCGCTGGATGAAGCGCCCCCCTTCTCGGTGCCCTTCAAGCCGTACGCCTGGAGCAGCCTGGGCGGCTCTGACCTGAGGCACCTCGTGCAAAGCTACAGGTCCTGCCCGGCGCTGGAGCGAGGCTCGGCCCTGGGGCTCTTCTGCGAGCGAGGCTCCGAGCCCGCCCTCTACAGCGCCGAGTGCAGCGCCTCCCTCGGACTTTATGGCGACTTCGGCTCCCCAGGCCCGGGGCTTTTTGAGAGGCCTCCAGCAGCAGCACCGGGACTCTACACTGACTCGCAGCCCGGACTGCAGCAAGAGAAGGGGCCAGGTGGCATCAAAGTGGAGTCAGATCTGCTGTGCCGCCCGCTGCTGCTCGGCACTGGCTCTTACAAATGTGTCAAGTGCAGCAAGGTACGGCCCGCTTCCTGCTGCGCCTGGCGCAGCTCTTCCCCACGCTCTTTTCCCTGGCCAGCCTGATCCCTGTGTGCTCTCTTCCATCAGGTCTTCTCCACTCCGCACGGCCTTGAAGTCCATGTGCGCCGCTCACACAGTGGCACGAGGCCCTTTGCCTGTGACATGTGTGGCAAGACCTTTGGCCACGCAGTCAGCCTGGAGCAGCACAAGGCAGTGCACTCACAGGTGAGAGTCGGGGCAGACTGCCATGGTGAGGGGCACGGGGCCAGGGCTGGCACTGGAGGGACCTCGAGGGCAACCACAGGGCAGCAGACGGGCATGAAACTGAGCAGAGGAGGAAAGCGTTGCAGGGCCGCGGCAGCAGCTGTGGGTAAAGAACATGGTGGCAGGCAGCGGAGAGGGCGGGAAGCTAGTGAACAACAAATTGAATATCACGGGCTTTGTTTCCACTGCCCAGACATTGTACGTGTCTGTATTAAGCAATGGACACTTTTGGCACTCTAGAAGTAACAGATAATAAATAATAAAATTTTACTGTCAGGGCTAGAAATTGAAGTGAGAATATGGACTTTTTAATGACTGAAGCAGCACGCTGTGCTTTTCTTTGAGCCAGGTCTTCTCAGTTCTTCTCCTCCCCTGCCCCCAAAGAGGTGACTCTTTGCTTGTTTGTAGTCACTGTGTCTATGCAGGGAACATCTGAACGCCCAAGCAGGTACAGAGCACAGACTTCATCCGTCTCGACACACTCTGAGTCACACACCAAAAGAATATGGTAGTTAAATTTGGTAGGAGGATTTGTAACATTTTCCACCTGCTGATATTGTGCCATATTTCCTCTTCACCCACCCACTTGGCCTGGCAAATCTTCTTCCTCAGATTGGCCTCGGGAGGATAGAGTTACCGTGATGTTTGTTTGCTAACTGTTTTATTTACAAGGGCATGAATGTGCAACGGCAGAGCACACAGTGAGGGGAAATATCTCATCACCTATTAAATAGTGGTGAAAAGAGCAGCACTGCATATTAAAGCCACGGAAAGGAGAACATATTAGGGAGGGCGCATAAAAAGCCAAGTAAAGGAAGATGATTATGTGAAAGCATAGCAGGAGAAGGAAGGTGTGATGGGATTTTAAAGGATGGAAGGAAGAAGTGAGTTTATGGTGGAAGACAGTGATGAGGAAAGGAGCGTGTGAGGGGGAAACTGAACTCAGTGCATTTAGTTTGATTTGTCAATATTTTTTTTTTTTCCTGTATGCTTTAAGCTATGGCTCTTGGGTTCCCAGAAGAGCAATATTGTCCCGAGCCCCTGTTGAAAGGTGCAGGCAGCTCTGCATGGTCAGGGCTGTTCCAGCCGGTCTGCTATCTCCGGGCAGCGGAGCACAGCACTGGGAGAGGGTGCACTAACTTGCTACCATGTGACCGCATTATGCCTGCGTTGGTGTCTCCTCAGGCTATGCGCTCTCTCTGGAGAGGGAAAAAGTGCTTCCTACAAAAATGACGGGCTGCCTGGTGGCTTGCTGTGGTAGCATCTCTCACATGGTGTAACGTGCATGTGTTTGGGCTCCTCTCTGCAGGAACGAAGCTTTGATTGCAAGATTTGTGGCAAGAGTTTTAAGAGATCTTCTACCCTGTCCACCCACCTTCTCATCCACTCGGACACCCGGCCCTATCCCTGTCAGTACTGTGGGAAGCGTTTCCACCAGAAATCCGATATGAAGAAACACACTTTCATTCACACAGGTCAGTTTGCAGGTGCTGGTGCTGGGCGGCGGGGCTGCTCTCTGGGGAGGTGTCTCCTGCAGTCCATTCCTTCTCGGCTGGGGCAGTGCGCACATCCCCCCAAGGCCGCTCACTGCCTTGCTGCAGTTTGCTCTATCTGAGCTCTGCTTGTGCAAAGGAGGATGATTTGAATGTGGTTTCATGAACCACAGCTGCTAAATAACCAAAATCCTCGCAATCCAATCAGTGTTTCCTTAATAGGATCCACCATTGTTTATTCAAAGGGCTTTTCTGTAGGACCATTTCTAGAGTATTATATTCATGTGGCCTTGATTGTCCCGGGAAATGACAGGTGAATTTGAGTGCAACATCTCCTTTTGCTGGCCCTGCCAGTTTACAGTAGGAACCCCAGGAGCCTCCTCCTCTAGATCAAACACTAAACTGGAGGACCCAGGGTCCCACTCTTAGTCTAAATATTTGTTCAGAGATTGATTGTGCTTCCACCCGGACCTTCCAAGCAAATGGCTGCAGTTTGATACAGAATGAAAGGAGAGGTGCAGAGTTATCAAGTTTCGTTGTCTGCAATAAACATGAAATCTAATAAAGTGCAGGTGAATCACTGTAGGAAATTGTTTTGAAAATGGTGTTCAGTGAGAAAGCAGGTTTATCAGAGATCTTTATAAGTAAATCTTGCCTTTCAAATCAGTGCCATTGATGTTTAAAAGTAATGAGAAATGTACAACCTGTGTGAGATGCAGAAACATTTGTAGGCATAAAATAGTAATAATGGTCAAAGCCAAGGTTCACGTGACCAAAATTCTGTTTCCTGACAGTGACTGGTAGCAGGTATCAAGGGACAAGTATCAAAATAACCTATACATAAGAAAGATAGCATTATTACTATCTCTGAGTTAAGTATTTGATTTTTCTAGATTGTAAGCAGTGAAAAATAAGTTTAACTTACTTATAAAGGTTCTCCACTATATGTTTGTCAGATGAAACTGAACAATCTAGAAAGTAAAACAAAAAGTTATTTGCCTGGTAACTTGTTCAGATGAGACTTGATGAAGTAAAATTTCAGCCAAATTCTGAATTAGTCACAAGTTATTTTGGTGTGAGATCAGAAACTGCCCCTGGACTTTTAAATTTCTAATATAAAACCAGGTCCTTAACTGAATCATAAATCCCTTTCACATGCAACGTATTCTTGCAGATTGAGCCTCCAGCATGTTTTGCATTACCTTATGTTTAAAAAAAAAAGATTTTCAAATGCGCAGAGTGTTTGTTGTTCCAGCTGAAGTCAATGGGCTCTGCAGGTGCAAAGCCACTCTGAAATCAAGCTTGGAAAGACACACGTGTTCTGTGGTTCTTTTATCCGTTATTTGGTAATAAACAGTGTGAAAATGCACTAAGATCTGCCCCCATAGATGCCAGGGTGTTTTGCCACTGACCACTCTGTAGAAGTTCGAAGCTAGATTTATTCCTGTTAACTTTATTTGTCTGCAGGACTTCAGGGCTGGCTTAGGTTGGGGAATAGAAAGAAGAGTGGATCTCTAGATGAACCCTGCCCCTCACTCAAGGGACCTCTTATTTCCCTTGGGGACAGGCCACAGCTCAGTGGGTCCAGCTTAACAACTGCCGTCTGCCTGACCCACCTACTCCCATGGTGAAGCCATAATAATATTGGGCAGTCAGCATGGCCTGGGATTTTTCCAAATCCTAATGCTTCTAGGACCAAAGCCAATCTAAACCCTTTAGGGCCCCACGGAGCTAATAACATGTTCACGTGTGTCTTGTGAGCACTCTGTGCTTCATGCTGCACCAGTACCAGACCAGGACAGTGCTGGTGCTGCCAGGTGCAGGGCCGCTCATCTGCAGAGAAGGCGCAGCTTTGGCTTTGGGGCTACATGTTTTTAGCAAGAGTGACTTGCCTGGTGATTACAGAGGAATCATTTTGCTTAGCTCTGGGGCACAGAGTGCATTTCCTGTTTTTTCTGTGCCTCTAGGCAGCATATTGCCTTTTTAACACCCTCTCTGCTGCCCTGCATCTTCTCCCTGCAGGTGAGAAGCCCCACAAGTGTCAGGTGTGCGGAAAAGCCTTCAGTCAGAGCTCCAACCTCATCACCCACAGTCGGAAGCACACAGGCTTCAAGCCCTTTGGCTGTGATCTGTGTGGCAAAGGCTTCCAAAGAAAGGTGGATTTAAGGAGACATCGGGAGACACAGCATGGCCTGAAATGAGTCCCAGCTGCAATACAGAAAGCACCTACAACACTATGAGAACAAACTCCCTTGGCTTCCCCGCTCAGCATGAGCCCTGTCTGTAGCACGGACCCTGGCATTATCTTTCTGACCAGGACTCCACAGAGAAGGGAAGAGAACAGAGTTATGTATTGAAAGCTCAACCTGAATGACTGTGCAAGCGGAAATTAGAGGCTGGGGTTTCTCTCTCTCTTCTTCTCTCTTTTTGAAATAACACTGGAAAGTAAACCTTTGAAACATGAAGCCTGATACTCCAAATACGGATAAGCTACGAAATATATGTGAGCTGGAAAGTCTTTCACCCATGGCCGATATGAAACCCCTCAAGTTTTCAGAATCTCAAATTACCTTGCAGGGAAACATAGGTGTAACAGTGTTTACATGAGAGTTGCCCAGCATTCAGTGAGGATGTAGGGAGTGCTTGCCTCTGCTTAGGGTCAGTGCTGAAGGACTTCATTCTTGGTTTCCTGTCAGGGAGACCTGGAATAGAGAACTAAACTGTGCAGCTTGGTATCATGTTGCTTTCCAAGCCAAGAGACCAACTTGGGCCTGATCCTGCTCTCACTTACTCTGGCATAAATCAGGAGTTGCACTGACAGAGGGAGGCCCTTTGATCCTTCCAGGGCAGTTTCTTGCTTTCTGTCTATGCAAGGCCCGGATGTATGAGGCTAGTTTTGAGGCATGAGGGAATCGCATCTTGCTCCATCCACTGGGGAAAGAGAAGTTTGTGAAAGACTTGACTGGGTAAGCCAGAGCAGAGAGTTATGCCTTATAACTAGAAACCCATCCAACAACCACCTCTCCTGGCTGAGGAGAGCTGGAGCACAGGAGGGGGCGCAGACTGTCCAGGATGACTATTGACTTCCATGCTCTGAGCTTGTTACAAATAACTGGGAAATAGCTACCCAATAGGCTTACGTGTATATTTGTTTTTGTTTTTCATTTTTTAAAGGGAAACTCACCTGAGGTGGGCAGGAATCATTATAAAAGTTTAATTGACTGAATTTGCCTTAAATGACCCTGCATGTACCTCAGTTAAAAAAAAAAAAACTGTTTTTACTTTGTTGACATGTTTGTAAATGTCCTTATTTAGATTTTATGGAGTGTCTTATGTTTATTGGTACATATTTATTGGAATAATGTTTTAAATTAATAAAGTATTGAGGATCATCCACTGTGATTTTTATTTAATATGCAACTTCAATGTGCCTCTGCAAACTTCAACCTTTACAACCCTACAGCTGCAGTATCCACGGAGGGCAGGCAGGCGAAGTGCAACTCTCACAAGGGCTCAGGCAATTAAAGAGCATGAATGTCTCATTTACGTGTCTGACTCACATTGGTTTCAGTTAAAAGGCTAACTGCTTCTGCGGGCTGGGAAATGCTGTATCTGAATACATTGATTACATGAATACAATGATTAGCACCCTGAAAGGATTCAGGGACGGGATGGCAGCATACGCCTGAGAACTAGACTGCCCAAGGAGCCGCACTCAGCGCAGGAAGCAGCTGAACATCGTGCCAGATGAAACGTCTGCGCCTGGGAGCTCGCGGGGCCACCTGAGCAGCAGGTGCCTCGCATACGCGTGCGTCCGTTGGGACTCGCAGCGCGGCCTCCTGCCCGGGCGCCCTGGGAGCAGGGCTCGCTCCAGCTGGCAGCCGCGGCCGCGCAGAGGGAGGCAGGAGGAAGGCAGCGGGTCCTGTATCCTGCTCCCAGCCGAGCACAGCCAGACAGCCTGGGCGTTGGGCTGTGTGCGTAGCCCTGTGTGCCCACACGGCATACGCTCTGCCTCCCAAAGAGCAGCTTGTGGTTGTCATTGCCTGAACCTTCCTCTCTCCCTCTCTCAAACCCCATCAATATTTTAATGCTTCATGCAAGAACGTGAGCAACTCTAGGGCTGTGAGCCCTACGCTGGGGCTGGGCCGTGAGGGCTGGTGCGGTCGTGTGTCGTTTCCCGATGCTTCTGCTTTTGGGCACATTTGGGAGTTTTGGCCGCAGCTACGTCTCTCAAGAGGTGACCAGCACTGTTGCTGGTGGCTGATTGAGCCCAAGTTGTACTGCTGCTCAGCCTAGGGTTTTGGACAAACAGAAAAGTGGTACAAAATCTCAGAGGTTTGTGGGGCTCGGGGATCAGCATGAGGGGATGTGCCCCATCCTGCGGGGTTAATTAGCACTGTGTGGATAATTGGGGAGGGCTGGTGGAGTCAGTGGTGGAGCAGGTGCCTCCGAGGAGCAAGTGGGTGCTGTAGGTCAGCCTGGCTGCTGCTGGGATGTTTTATACATATTTCATGGGAAAGCTGTGGCTGGAGGGAGTGGGCTATGTGGCCATGGGCTGACAGCAGCCCCAGTGTCTCTCTGGGTGGGGGGTTCCTGTCAGGTGCAGCTGCCACACTGCAGATAGGTGCCGGCCTAGGGGGCCTGAGGGGCCTCAGCTAGTGCTGCACCCCTTAAGAACATGGTAGCCAAGTGTGTGGTTATCCCCCTTGCCCCCAAGTGACTTGTTTTTAAGCCTCTGGGCACCTGTTTTCCCTCAGCTGTTACTTGGGGCCCAAACCCCCTCAAAGCTGCCCTAGGAAGGAACCATGTTGGTCATGGCTTCCCTGTCCTGGCTGCTCCCCATTCGTCTGTCTGTCTGTCTGTCTGTTGTGTGTGAGAGGCTGGCCCCTCGTTTGGGCAAAGTGCTACTGAGTCTGGGGAGAAGTTCTGGCTTCAAGATCGGCCATTTGGTGTGAATGAGAGGAAAAATAAATCTATCTGATCTATCTGGAGAGAATCAGAACAGGCTACTGAGACCATAGAGCCTGAGCCTGAAGATTGGAAATATCTTTCTTGGTGCTATTGCTTTGTGCAATTAAAAATGCATCATGCATATTGCGTGACTCATTATTCATGGAGCGGCGCCCGCACCTTTTGTCTGCCACGTAACAGTAGAAAGGGAAAGGAGAGACTCTGAGCGCACCTTTGTCTCTGTCCCTAAATTTTTAATAGCGCCTCTAGCTAGCCAGTTGGTGAAGCTCAGTTCCTGCATAAAGGCAGAAAGGCAGAGCCACCAAAAAGACGACTAAGCCCTTCAGGAGCTAATTTGAGCTTGTGTTCATCCGCACCAGCCATGATTAAATTACCTATCGAGTGTGCAGAGCTATCAGGATTCAGGGCATTGAAAAACAAGGTGAATTTATCTGATTGATTTAAAAGACACGGATGGAACAAGTGGGTTAAAAATAAGTAAATAAAGTCTGTCCTGTCTAGATATTATAGAAGTATTTCTTCTGGCAAGTAACTGAACTTGTGAGTTGACCGCAAGAAGTGGTCGTGCTTGCGCAGAAAGCAAAGGTGTTAATTGGAGTCAAAATGTTCCATCCAAATCAGTTAGCAGGCTGGGTTAATGCAGGAGGCAGAAACAGAAGAACTTACTAGGTTCCATCCTTATGGACAGCAGAGATGCTTAAAATTAAAATATGCAAACATCATCTGTGCTTTCTATACGGGCAGTTTCCAAAAGCAGATAGTGACACTCAGATTGGATATTGCAACACAAGCGAGCGACCAGCTCTGCCAGGTCTTGCTCCTTCCTCAAGTAAAACTTTTGTTGCAGTTGCCGGGGAGGGAGGAAGAGGTTTCTAGAATAACCCTGGAGCACACGATTGCAAGACGCGTGCAACTGCATAGCCGCAAGCTGCACCGCTGGTGTGTGTTGATAACGCACTGCTCCATCTTCTACCTTCCCTTCCTTAAGGGGGACGGCGGGGAAACAAAACAGGTCAGTTGTGTCAAATTCCTCTCCAGCAAAACCCCGATCACATGAAGAATAGATTTGGCCTTTATTTATGATTTGGGTCGTACTTGAAATGGAAGGATGAAAGATAGCTCAGCATATTGCCCTTTGAGGGAGTTCTGATTTGGAAAAGCACTGAAATATGTATGGGAGTTGGTGAAGTGCTGCTCTGCTGGGGACCCTGCGTGCGAGGTAGCTGCCAGCAGTTAAAACCCCAGATATTTCCCTACATAGACCTCGCGCTGCTGCCCGGACGCACCCGGCCGGACGACACCTCGTCACCTGTGGTGGCCGTGTCTCTGAGCGTGCTGGGGTAGCTTTTATCTTCTAAAGGACAAGAGAATAGTGGTTGCTTCAGGTGTATTCTTCGCTAAGTAATACAGCGGTCTAGATGGATTTAAGCCATGTAGATGTCTGTAATGCGTTATATGGGATGCAAAGTGAGGCAACCAGATTTAAAAAGAGATGTAGGTATCTAAAGCCTCAGCAATTTCTGAAAACACACTGGATTCCTGCCCATGTCTTTGGCTGCCCGGGTAGTCCAAATAATAATAAAAATGACATACAAGTTCCAGGTAGTCTCCCGAGCCTGTATTACACCAGCTGGCAATACACACAATATATGGACTACAAATAGAAGGAGCTCATAAATCTGGCAGAAAATGTTCAGTAGATTATAAAAATGCTGGCCACACATTGTTAGAGTAATATTGCCTAACAGACTAGCCTGGAGCATATGATAAATCTTTCAAATAAGATGAAAGCAAAGCACTTCAGTGTGGTTGCCCCTATATTCTTCTTCTCATCTGTTTTTTTTTTTTTTTTAAGTAGAGATAATATGACAGAAGCATATTGAGTAATACAATCGTAGAAAGAAAATCAGGTAATAGATTTTCCACCTGCTCGAGCCCCAGGGTGGACGAGTGTCAGCCAGGTCACTCATGGGGCTGCTGCACAACAAGTGGCCACACTCTTTGCTTCGCCTGATTTTTGTTAGTGTAAACAGCTGGTGTTAGATGGAAATGGAAATCCTCTAGGATGACAGACATTTCCATGAGATGTATCTACTTATGTTTTGCACTTTTTTTCCCACTATGAATAATACATTCCCAAAACTCACCAATAGGGTTGACAGGCAAGTTCAAAAGGGGAGAAAGGTATCAATGCAAGAAGCTGAATTCCCCAGTTAGTTCAAAAGAGAGCATTTATCGACCAGCAAACAGATAAAATAGGTGTTTTTAGTTTTCTATAGGAAAGTTTAAGTATTGCTGTACAGAGTCACAACACATTACTTATGTTTGATCAGATGGTTGTCCAGAAGAGGTTAGATATGCACTTGATCTAACTTTTATTCTCCATGGCTAGTGCTAGCAATCAGCTTACACTGATTTAAGCAAAGGGAAGGTTTGAGCATATGTTATCTGCTAAACCTGCTAAATTTCCAGTTTCAGAAACTGTCAACTGCCTCTGCTGTCGCTTTTGCCTCTCTGAATCACAGCAATGTAAATGGGTGGCTGGAGGGGTGGCCCCTCTCTTCTCCATCCCCCAAGTTAAGGGAATCGGTGAAAACAGTTGTCTTTATGCAGC